AGAATAAAACTGGGTTAAACCTCTACTAGGTGGGTTCCATACAGTTTAGAGGTCTGCATATTCGGTACGTGCCTCGTTGGGGCTTCCGATATACTAATTAATCAAAATCATGTGAGATGCAATAATAAGTAATAATACTGATAGATTTTATGCATAAATTGATCGGCAAACTTTTACTAACGAAATACTAGTATCTAAAAATTGATTCACCTCGTGTACAAGCTATTTTTTTGAAGAATTCTTCGTAGCAAACGATTCGCATAGTATAAGAAAAAAAAGTTACAAGGCCAAATTTTTGATTAATTGGGCATTTTGGGTTATTACATTAGCAGGAATTACTCAAGGACTAGTAAATATTCAAAAAAATTGATTCATCTCGTGTACAAGCCATTTTTTTGAAGAAATCTTCGTAGCAAACGATTCGCATAGTATAATAAAAAAAAGTTACAAGGCCAAATTTTTGATTAATTGGGCATTTTTGGTTATTACATTAGCAGAAATTACTCGAGAACTAGTAAATATTCAAAAAAATTGATTCATCTCGTGTACAAGCTATTTTTTGAAGAAATCTTCATAGCAAACGATTCGCATAGTATAATAAAAAAAAGTTACAGGGCCAAAATTTTGATTAATTGGGCATTTTTGGTTATTACATTAGCAGGAATGCCTAAAGACTAGTAAATATTCAAAAAAATTGATTCACCTCATGTATGTGCTATTTTTTGAAGAAATCTTCGTAGCAAACGATTTGCATAGTATAATAAAAAAAAGTTACAAGGCCAAATTTTCGATTAATTAAACATTTTTACGTGTCAAAGCAAATTTTGGTTCAACCCACCTAATCAGTCATGTGACATGCTATCTTGGTCACAGGCTTAGTCACAGGTAAGATCGAAAGGTGTGTCATCACAAATTTGATTGGCTAAAAAATAGAGATAATCGATTATAGACTATAAAAGCGAAACTTGCCAATTTTTTTTTAATTTTTTTAATAACAAATTATTAATGTCGTGACCATATTAGAGCTTGACTTGCTACGAACAACGTGTATTGTATTTTTTTTTTTTTGTGATTATAAGTTTGCCACGATCATATTAAAGTTTTAAGCTAATATTTGAATTTTGAATTAGAACAGTTACTTTCAAAAAAAAAAAAAAAAATTACAAGGTTTAATATAAAATAAGGTTTATTATTTTTAACAAGTATGTATTATGACAATTATTATTATCTAATCTTCAACAATTACATGGTTACGATTCTTATTTTGTTGTTGATTTTTGGATTTGAAAACTTCTTCAATTTTCGCAAGCTCCTCATCTCTCTTTTTTTTTTTTTTTACATGTTCTGTTTCATTACACGACTGCGATTTTGAATTTTTTCGCAAATAATAATTCCATTCTATTGTTTCACATAACACAAAGACAAATTTCTCGACAAAAATTAATTCATCAGCAACAGAAAAAATGGTTCGACGATATGTAGCTTCAGCTACATTAGAATGGCGACCTTTCGGATTCAGATTATACTTACATATAACTGACAAATCAGTGGTTTTTCTATTCATACTATTATATACCCCCTTTTTTAACCGAAAAATAGCACTGTCGCCATGTGGTTCAGAAGGGTCTTAAACAGGTGCAGAAAAAATTCTGAAAGCAGGTGCAATTGGCAGATCGTAAATGTTAGGTTTGGTTTGTACTGTTTTAATTTGCAGTGTTACGCTTTGAGAAATCATAACCTTAATTTGAAATATGAAATTAAATTACTTATATTATAATCATTATATTCTTCAATATAGATTAATATGAACTAGAGGTGCAGGCAAATCGTCCCAATGATTGCCATAACCTTACCGAATATATTATTAGTTATAACAGCACGTTACGGTAAAGTTACGGCAATCGTTGGAATGATTTGCCTGCATCTCTAGTATGAACAAGTTGGGCTTTATGTTTACATTTAACTCATCTTCGAATACAAAACATCCAATTATCATAGCGATAGTTTTTTCAGTCAATTCTTCAATAAGCGATGATTCTCTCATATAAAATGCTTTAAACTTATATTCAGCAAATTCATTAGTTGCTGTTTGGTAAACCGCAGACCCAGTACAAAATTTTCCTGAACTTGAAACAAAAACACTTTTAATAAAGGAAATTGCGCAGAAGATAGAGGCTATTTGTTTCGTTGTAGTAAATTGTAGTAAAATTGGCATTTATTTTATTATTATTTTTTTTGTTAAATTGTAGTAAAATTGATGTTTATTTTATTATTTTTTTGTTATCACGAAGATTACAAATTTTTTTTGAAAAAATTTACATTTTTAAATCCTTTTATAAAATATAATTTTTTTTCAAATCAGTTTGTAAATTGAATTTTCTAAATGTAGAGATCGCTTAAAGCTAAGTCTATCACGATATTTATGTGAATTAGCCTGACAAAGCAAAAATATAAAACGAATATTTAAACCTAGAGATGGGCAAATCGCAGTTTTTTCAAAAATCCCATGCGTCACACGCGGATTACACGCATGATTCGAATCCCGCGCGGGATAGGATCACAAATCTACAGGTTTCTTAATTTTTTGTGTCGAATAAATAACCATGCA